GCCCGAAAACAACCTCCAGATGCAGAACAGTTCCGAAGACCTTCCATCGTGGTTTTGTCACGATGCGAGGGGCCCTGGGCCTATGAGTCAAAAGTCGACCCCTATGGCCCCTCTAGGGGTGCGTCCTGGTCCCAGAATTTTAAAGGGAATCTAGCCGTGGCGACGGGGAGCCTGCCAGAAGTCGAAGCAGGAGAAAAACTGTTTAAAAAGAAACAACTAAATCCTCGAAGTTCGACCCTCGAGGAATGCAAGAGAAGAAGGAGGAGGAGGAGGAGAAATAACAGCAGAAGACGAAAAAGCAGGAAGAGGAGGTGGGAGGAGAAAGAAGAGGAGGAGGAAGAGGAGGAGGAGGATAAGGAGGAGGACCCAATTAAATCCAAGACCAATCAACGATGTTGCAAAAAAAACCTCCCTGCATGTTCCCTTTCATAAGTCCCTGCAAGAATGTATGTTCGCTGCTGGAGATGCCTCGTCGGAAGACAACCGCGTAAAAATCTTGGACCGTGCCAGAACACTCTTCCTTTGACGTCAACGCCGCGAATCCAAGTTTCTGGTGCGCCATGACGGGCCTGAATCGTGCCGGGAAACCATCCCTGGGACTTCAACACCGCGAATCAATGTGATTGGTCCGCCCTGGCAGTCGCACATGGTGCCAAAACCCCATTCCTGGCACGCCAGCCAAAAGAATCCTAGACACTGCTGTAACCTCTTAAGACGAAATCGCGCGGCGCTAAGGCGAGAGCCACATTTTGAAAAGGAGCACCCCTCTGTCCGTGGAACGCTTGCAAACGTTGAAAAGGAATGTGCGCGGCGCTCAAACGAAAACCGCACTTTGAAAAGAAACCGCCCTCAATCTGCGAATCCTGCAATCGTTTGAGACGAATGTGCGCAGCGCTACGGCGAGAGCCACGTTTTGAAAAGGAGCCGCCATCCATCCGTGAAACTCCTGCAACCTTTTAAAACACGTGTACGCGGCCTAAAGCGAGAACCACGTTTGAAATGAACCACTCTCCATCCGTGAAATCGTTTTTTGGCAAATTTTGAAAACTGATGCGCGGGGCGTTCAGGCGAGAGCTACATGTTGAAAAGGAGCCGCCGCCCGTGAAACTCTTGCAACACGTTGAAACGAAATTGCGCGGCGCTGGGGCGAGAGCCACGTTTTGATTAGGGGCCGCCATCCATCCATGAAAATCTACGCGGCCTAAGGCGAGAGCCACCTTGGATAAGGAACCGCCCAACATCCGCGAAACATGTTTGCAAACGTTGTAAAACGAACGCGCGGGGCGCTGAAGAGGGAGCCACATTTTGAAAACCGCCCGTCCATCCGTGAACATCTTGCAAGTTCTGAGCTGTAGAATCAAAAAGGGCGGGGAAAGTCTCAGACGAAACGCACGGCCCGCCCTACCGACACGTCTCGGGGTGCGACAGGGAAGATTTTTGATTCGCGGGTCGAGAGCGCACCTCTTCCGCGACAGGGAAGAGTTACTGATGAGAAGCAGGAACGGAGGAGGGAGGGGAGGCGGGGAGGGGGGAGGCCCCAAATCTCGATCATCGAAGCTCAGTCCTCGAAGCCTCAACCCTCGGAGCCCCAGTCCCCTCCCCGAGAGGATCGGGCCGGACGACAGGGTGCTCAGCAACAGGGAAGGTAGCGAATCAGATCACGCACCTAGCTTCCCGGGCGCCCGCTGGCGCCTGTGGCGCCAGTGTGCCGAGAAGGCGGCCCGGCGACAGGGCCGAAGACAGTCGCACAATGCAGAAGATTCCGCCCCGCCCCCCCCTTTCAAGCTCCCCCGCTCCTCGGCCGACCCGAGAGACGACGACGACGACGACGACGACGACGACGACGACGACGACGACGACGACGACCAGACCTCTCATGGGGTGCGTTCAGGCCAGAGTTTCGACGGAATCCCGATCGTGGC